TCCTTCAAAAAATGATCTTCTATTTGTGTTGATTTGATTTCAGACGCTCTCGCCAATTTCATTTCTGATTTCTTATTCGATTTAAATTGATTTTTTATTCATGTAAATTGTAAGATTCGTTATTGTTTTTTACTTTTTTCATGTTAGTTTTCTAATAAAAAGCTAATTTATGTGTTTTAATTCTGATTTTTTGTAGATAACATGAAACCTCAACATAACAAGTATTGAAGTCCTTGTTGTTGGAGTCTAGGAAAAAAAAATCAAAAATCATTATTCTTGTTGGAAAACAATTCTGAAAATGATTTAACATCACAAGATCATAATTAAGTGTTTTTGTTTCATTGACTTGGTTTTTGTTCTTATTTTTTGATAAGTTTAAAATAATGACATGTTGTCTAGAAAACATTTATCAGGTAACGAGAAAATGAAAAAAAAAACGAACAACTAATACTATTAAGAAAACGATATAAGTAGAAATTTATAACAATGGTTCATTTAAAAAAAAATAAAAAAGCCACGCTTTAGTATATTTTTTACTTTAAGGGTATATCTGATCTATACAACAACTCATTTTTTACGCAATTTTTTTATGTTACTTTTTTAATTAACAAATTTCATTTTAATAAAATAACATATATTTCGAATTAGCAATGTACAAATAATTAATTTGGTTATAATTTTATAATAAACATATTTTATGATGTTTCAAAAAAAAATTGTACATAAATATGTTAAGAACTAATTAATTAGTTGAAGAGTGTGCTTGATAAATTTATATAAGTTCAAAAAAAGACTATAGTTTACAATATTATATTTGGTGTAAAAGTTGTGTTGCGTTGGAAATAGTCTAAGGGCCTCATTTATTTATGTTGCTCGAGGCCTTAAACCGGCTTAAAACGACACTACCAATAGCCACGAAACAAGTTTAGAAGCGATCAGTCACATCAGTTTTGATGTAAATGTAAGTATGCAGGTTGGTTCGCCTAAGGTTGTGTAAGTAAATAGGCAGGTTGTTAAAGCTTTCTTCGTGCTCACTCTCTGAGAAACTCATCTTCAAGCAATTATTAAAGAAAATTACGGATGATCGAAAGTAAGCGTCTTCAAGCAATTATTAAAGAAAATTACGGATGATCGAAAGTAAGCGTCTTCAAGCAATTATTAAAGAAAATTACGGATGATCGAAAGTAAGCGTCTATGTACATGCAGACACACACACACACACACACACACACACACACACACACACACACACACACACACACACACACACACACACACACACACACACACATATATATATATATATATATATATATATATATATATATATATATATATATATATATATGGGACAAAAATTGAGTTTTCTAATCTGGAATAACTGCCCGGAATGGGTGTTCGAAACGTGTATGAGCCTAACAATCATACATAGATTTTCTTATTTGGAATAGTGGCAGTTTGGAATGTACGAAGATTCTTACTATACTAGAAAAATACCACTTAATGACACACATTACGAGTCATAAAAGGGTACAAATGATACGCAAATGTGTGTCAAGGAATGTCATGTCATAAAGGAAGACGAAACGCATTTGCATGTCGTAATCTTACAATGCGCATTTACGAAACACAATGTGTATCATAAAAGCCCCTCTCAAGGAAGGTCATATCATAAATGAAGTCGACACCTATTTTTACGTATCGTAATTTTAAATGTTTAAAAAAATATTATTTATACATTTACTAATTTTCAAATTAAATTTGCATTTAATATCTCATAAAATAAAATAAAATATCATATATAAAAAAAAACAATCCATTGAACATAATTTAATGTCATACAAACAATCGTTCCAATAGCAAATAAATGTAATACATTAAATGAGAAAGAGAAGAAAATCATCAACAAATAATACTTGAACTACAAGAACTTTTGACCACCTTCACGACATCCGAGTTAATTTGCTTGATATTATGCACATCAACAAGACCTACAAAATTTGAATCATGCAACCATTAGATTCATATAAACCAGCAAACCCCATTAAAATGGATCGGACACTTCCTTTAAAATATCTAATAGAGGCAAAAGGATACTTGTTTGACACTTCCTTTTATCAAAATCAGATAGAATAAATTGAAGATTCTTGCCCAATAATTATCAACATGTTTATCATGAAGTTAAATCTATTCGATGAGATAAGCATAATACAATAGAGATAGCATAAGACATCTTGTCAGATAAGTTGCTACGATAATTATAAATATAATTTTCAAATTATGACTTGAAATTATTGTGATTCACAGATGTCTTGATGCTATAAATAGTTCTATCTATATTTACATTTGCGGAGTTCTACATGTATATTCTTTTGTAGAAAGATGTATTTGCAATGACTACACACTAACGCAAACTGAATATCTTTAAAAGGTTATCTCATTTGTTGTAGGAACAACTCCCTATTTTAAGTACTTTATACCAAGAAGAGCATTTATGAAAGTTGATTTTACAGAATTGAATTCAACCTATCAAATCATGACAAGATGAAATCTTAGTGAAAATCGTAGCAAATTGTTAATACTACTTACTTAACAACAAGGTCTACATGTATCATAATATAACTATGAGGTTAAAGTTTAACAACAGAAAAATCTTCGAAATTTACTACGTTGCAAATTCCCCAGTTTTAAATGAGTATTTGAAAGTAATTTTGTAACAAAAAAATAAAAGAAAATCATTTGAAGTTCAGAGCTAATAGAATTTATACCTGCAGAATCATAAGTTGTTGAAGTTCAACACATAATTACCACTATAAACAGTAAGAATGGCTTGTTGTGGTGTGAAAGATCATCCCTAAGAAGTGAATCTTGATTAACCCAAGCTTGTTTCAGGATAACAAAATGTGATAATTACCAGATGGTGCTTCGTTCTATATTCATCAGTTTTTTCATTGTCATTGGCTAGAAGAAGAACCAATATCCAGATAAGAACGAAAAAGAACAATCATATTAGGTTAAAATAAAGACAAAATATGTAGGTGGTGAGTTGGAATCTATACAAACTTGAATATCCTCAAAGAAAAAACTTATCACACTTTCAATCTCTAAGTATATTGTCTTATTGCTAACTTTTAACATTTCGATATCTGAGACGAAAGTTCTACCTACCACAAAAGAAAATATGTGTGTCTCTACTAACTTGTGGATCAACATGAATCCTTCTGAGAACTACAATTATTTCCTTTGTCATATTTAATCACCAATGCTACATAGGTTCCAGTTGAAGGTAGGGGTAAAGATAAGTACATGAAAGGGTCAAATAAAAAAATAAAAAATAATTTTCATTTGCCTTTGCATATGCTAAGTAATGGCCACCACCTCAGAGGGTGGTGGGTTTTTATCGACTCCAAGAAAGAAATAACAGAAAAGCATGTAAAAGAAGGAAGACCGACAACAAGAAAAAAAGATGAATGAAACCAGAAAATAGTGGAAGAAAAACACACCTGTAGCTGAGAATCAAAGGTCTCCGGCGTAGCTGTGGGGTGCGCCGGTCTCCAACCAGTGGTGGTTTCATAAGGAGGCGATGGCTAACTGCGGCGAGCAGTGTCGCTTGAGGAGCCAACGATCGTGATAAGTAGATGAAGGGTATGTGATATGTTTCATTATACAATATGGAGTGTGATATGTTGGATTAGGATTTTAAAAGAGAAGGAATGCAAATAAATTTGGGTGAGTGTGATTATCAATGGGTAGAAGGGGTTTGTAGAGAGAAGGAGGGAGAGAATTAAGGTCGATCTAGTAGGTGGAGAGAGTGCAGAGGTAGAGGAAGGCGGATTGTGATTTTAGGGTTCAATGGTGGTGGTGATGGCTTAGAGTTTGTAGAGAGAATGCAGGGATGGAATTAAGGTCATGCGTGGGTGAAGATCTAGAGGAGAAAGTGCAGAGGAAGAGGAAGGCAGGGTACTTCAAATTTATAAAACGACATTTCTACATGACACCCTTTTAATTTAAGTGCCCTCCGTTTTTGTAATTTTTTTTGTCGGACACTTAATTTTAGGGCATGTTTAAATGCGTGTCATCTATCCTTTAAATTTTGGAAAGCTGATATTATTTTTAGGACACGCTCAAAATGCATATCGTAAATCCGTGTGTATCATTGTTCGCATGTCATTACAGGTCTGTTTTCTAGTAGTGTTATTTCAGACTATATCTCTGAAATGAGTACCCCTACTCTGGGATGCTCTATTTCAGAGAAAGTGGTCTAGCAACGCTCTAGAATAAATACCCTGACTCCGGAATGCTCTATTCCGGAGAAAGTGATCAGTTTAAAAAAAAAAATTATGTTGGTTATTGTTATTAAATTAGTCGTTTATATGGGTTAGTTTACTCAATTTTCCTATATTAAATCATTTGTCACTTCATAAATTTATTCCACTAAACTAATAGCATCCAAAATGATGAGTTCAAAGGAAGTGTTGAACAAGGTGACAAGTCATTTTGTCATTCAATAGATTAAACTTTATTTTAACGAGATGCTATATTGACATTCAATGGATTTGGAGTTCAATGGACATTGAACTCTTTAATGGGAAAAAGTAAAGTTTTTTAATTCTTAAATATATACTATAAATTAGCTTTTGTAATTTTCTATTAAAATTTGTAGAGTTCAATGTATTGTAGAAAAAAATTGATAAAGTTGTATGGAATGTAAAAAATTATGTGACAATCCATTCAATTCTAGGAAGTTCAATGCATTATGAATGCCTTAAAAATGATTATAGGCTTATAGCTATTGTATAGTGGATGATGAGAAAGAAAATATCATATGGAGAAGATCCTTTTGATACAATGGAATTATCATTACTCATACCAAAACTGGAAAGTTTAAGAGACACGTAGAAACAGAACATACTTTTTAACTTTAATAACTTATCGATAAACACATAACCATCCGAGAAATTAACACATACTACTAATTCATAAACTTACAAATTACCTCATCATTTACTAATGTTTTCTCTGAAATTAATTGTTGTTGACGTTGACACATCACTTGGTAGCATAAATATATTTGTGCTAGAGTTCACTTTTCCAAAAATCATTTGAACAGTTGACGGCACATGTGATGTTCTCATACCTTCCAATGCCATGGCTACTTCCTTCATTGTTGGTCTGTTTCTTCCATTAGCATCCAAGCATCGACTTGCTAAGTTAGCTATAGCTAAGAGCTCATCCCTAGAACCCTCCTTCACAACCATTGCATCAAAAATAGACATCACATGGCCTTTTTCCATGGCCAGCATAAAGTGTGTAGCTAAATTTCTATTTTCACCAAATCTTGTAAATGAAATTGGCTTTTCTCTTGTCAAAAGTTCTAGCAAAACAACTCCAAAGCTATAGACATCACTCTTTTCGGTGAACTGACTGGATTGGAAGTACTCTGGATCCAAATAACCAAATGTTCCTTTGACTAAGGTCGTTAAGTGAGTTTGATCTATTGATACCAACCTTGATGTTCCAAAATCAGATACCTTGGCTCTATACGTTTCATCCATAAGTATATTAGTGGTCTTTACATCCCTATGATAGATTGGAATAGAAGTTTCAGAATGTAAGTAAGATAGTGCCGCAGCTACCTCTGCAGCAATTTGTAATCTCAAGTTCAAAAAAGTGGGCACTCATTAGTATGGTCTTGAATAAGTTCATACAATGTGCCATTTGGGATGAATTCAGAGACAAGTATAGGAACCTCTGTCTCAAGGCAACATCCCAATAGTTTGACAACATTCCTATGATTAACTTGTGAAAGAATGACAACTTCATTGATGAATTGCTCTAGTTGGCTCTCATCAACAACTTTTGATTTCTTAACTGCCACAATCCTTCCATCTGATAACATGCCTTTATACACTGTGCCTTGACCCCCTCGACCAAGAATTCTGTTATCATCAAAATGGTTAGTCGCCTTCTCCAACTCAGTAGAGGTGAAAAGTATGGTTTTATCAACTAAACTAGTGTCAGTTGCTTCTCGTTGTTTAAGAAGTAGGCCACCATTGTGTTTAAAAAACTTCTCTCTCCGTCTCTTGGTTTTTATTTTCTTGATTAGTTTGTACAACTCGAAGATCATCTTTGCTAGGAAGATCAACCCTATGGATATGCTAGTACCTGAAAAGAGGCAAATACAGTAAAATTATATTACAAATTTAAGATGTTTATTATAGTCAAAATTTCAAATCGAAGGAATCTTGAATTTTAGAATAGATATATGTGTAAGCAGAATAGTCTGGTGTATTACAATAGAAATGTAAAATGAAAAACTGGATTGAATAGAATAGTGTACTGATTCGACTGCATGATTAATTTTCATTACTATTATTATAATTTAAGTTTGAGGATAAGCCTTTAAAATGATTACATATATTTATTTGACAATTTGTAGGCATCTTAAAGGAGTCCCTTAGCCAGTGATTCAAGTCTTGCTTCAGTGTAGATTTAAAGTAGATTTAGGAGGTATATATAGGTGTGTGAGTTAACTCCTAGAAAAATAAGTTTTAAACATCTTAAAATAAATTCCAGAGGAACAGGTAAGGTTTTATATGTATCTAGCAGTTTTGTAATCTTTTCAATTGTATTACAACTTATTTACATTAAAGCCCAAGTTTGACTATATTATTCAATTTAATTCAATTCAAGCATCAATTATGATGTTTTATATGACTCGTAAGATCAGACAATAGCTTAATTACCTAGAATAACACCTATTGGTGATTTGCTTCTTGCAAGATCTGGGGTACTATATACCGATGGATACACACAAAAGAAATTCCCCCGGTAATCTAAATCATCAGCATATCCTTCGTCATAATGGCAGATTCGTCCAGAATCCCGACACTCTTTACACCTTTCAGATTCTAAAAGAACATAACATGCACAAAGCTTAATTAAGTTTCCTGGACATGCACAATTTTTACGCCAAAAGAATATAATACGCAAACTTACATACCTTGGCATTGATTGTACAAATAAGGGTTTCCTTCTCGTCCAAAACCACAGTAGCACTTCATATAATACACATTACTACCGTTACCCAAATCCAGCGATGGTCTCCTGAAATTTCCTTCCCAACAATTTGGTATTTCATCGTTTTTTAGGGTCCACATAAGTGATATTGGAATAAAAGACTTATTCTTGACACCATAATCTTCATACCAATAGTCAGCATATGTTTCATCCACCAAAAAGGCAGACCCACAATGTCCACCTCCATCAAGCCTTTGTAAACGCGAAAGATCCACAGTGTAGGACTGTAAATAATGAGGAATTGTAGTTTGACAACTGATGCCAGAATAATTTTTTTTTTCACTGATTGATTCATTGAGGCAAGTAGTTGAACATCCAGTGAAATGGTTCTGATCATCCAAGATAGCAGCATGACCACACCCCTCAACGATGAATACGTTATGAGTTTTGGAAAATAGGAAGGGGCTCTCACCAAGGTCGACACTTGGGATAAGATCAGTGTTATTCTGCAATGGATTCTGGCAACCAGAGATTGTTGGGATCTTAACTATGACTATTTGTTCTTTCAACCTCACACTCAACACCTCCAGGTTGTGGAATGCGGATAGATATGGTTTTGAAGAGTTGCAATCAATAGCATACCATTCGTTCACAGAACAGTTTGGTCCAATCCCAAAAGGGAATGGAATCTGGATTCCCCCACAAGTATCTTTGCATCCTGTCTTAGCGTAATCAAGAGCTTCTGTTGATGCTGTTGATAATAAGATCGAGATAACAATATGAAAAACATGAAGTTGCTTCATTTTTGTTAACAAGGTGGAGTGATGGCAGCGAGTGTACAATGGAGGATGAACATATCTAAGGATGAATGAAAATGGTACGCAGTTACTTGGTCAAAAATGCCGCGTGATTTAATTAGTCTCGTGGAAATTTAGATCATTGTTGACTTTATATCAAACGATTTTTTTTTTTATTTTTATTTTTTTTAAAAAAAAAAACGTGTGAGATCCAAATAATACATTATTTTTTTTTTAAATTAATATATTTTGTTAAGAATTACATTTTTTTGATAATTTACAAAACTAAATTTATAAAAAGTATCAATATTAGCGGTGAATGAATAAATTTTTTGCAAGATTTTTACTAATTATTGTCGATTCAAAAATGATTGGTTAAAAATTATGTTTTTCAATTAACAAAGTTGATTTTGAATTTAAATTGAATTTAATAACAAATTACGTGAGAATTTATGAAGATATTTAAGATTCCTTATTTTCTTTATTATTTTTTTAAATTAGATTCTTTTATAATTTAATAATAAAGACAAAAAAATCAAAAAAACACAATTTAACAAGTATATTTAAATTAAATTGAAAAAATTAAAAAAATTGTCATGTCGCATATTGAATTAAGTAATGACATTTGGCAAAAAAATCTTTATATATTAGATATCCAATATTATTATTATATTTATTGCAATTAGTATATTAAAGTATTATGTAGTTTTTATTTTTTAATAAAACAGGAAAAACTTATAAATGACATGTGGATAAAAAAATTAATTCAAAATAACCACAAAATAATATATGGTAAATTGAATAATAATGTGATAAATAGTAAAAAAAAATCTTTATTTATTATAGAGGAAGAGGTATATCCTTGAAAAAAAAATAATATATTTTTCACATTGTACTCAAAATTTAATTAGTAGATTATAATTTATAAAATATACTTATTATGGCAATGGTTTATTATCAAATTTTGCTAATACTCATGTGTGCCTCCACTGCAAGAAAGGTGGGCATTAGCGGCGACGCCTGTCACCGCGAAGGATAGCTCCGACGCCGCAAAAGGTAGTAACGGCTTGCTGCAAATAGGTTGCCGCTAATGCTTCGTCCCTAATACCTTTTAGTCGCCACTAATACTGACTTGACGTTGTTGTTGGTTTGTCACCGCTAATAGTCACCTATCGCCGCTAATACACCGTCACCACTAATAGCTTTATAGTGTTGCGAAAGGCATCGCCACTAAAACAATTTTCATTTTTTGATTTTTTTTTATTTAACATTAAAACTATAAAAAATAATATAACATTTAGAAAAGCTGGTACAATTTTACAGAAATATTAATTAATTAAAAATATTAATCCATATACAACCAATACAAAATATTAATCCATACACAACCAATCCAAAATATTCTTCCAAACAAAGTGCAATATATCCAAAATATTATTCTAAACAAAACATTTCATAAAATCCTAAAAAAGTAGTTACTCGTTCTCATCACTACCATCATTTCCTTTATTATTATTTTGTAGCGGTAATGAGAGAAACCACTTTCCAATGCCACAAAACAGGGGTGGTGCTTTAGTTTGCAGTATTATCAACTACAAAGAAAAAAAATATATTACCAACATATCATAATAGCGTTATATTTTCCAAAAATTAACAAAATAAAAATACCAACATATCTAACTATAACCAACATAGCATTCCAGCATTCTACTTTCAAAATACACGTAAACATAGATCATACACAACATATCATTATACCATTCTACTTTTCGTTATAGCATTGTGCTTTTCAAAACTTACCAAACTACAATGTATCAACATATCAAACCATAACCAACATATCATTATAGCATTCTACTTTCCATTGTAGCTGTAAGTCCCAAATCTGGAACCAACTAGTGATCAAACACAAGAACAAGCAATAATCAATGAGAACAAGAAGGAGTAGAAGCAAGAAGATCCAAATTGCACACGTTTGTATTGAGCCGTAAACGTCATGTACAATGGAACACACACATACAACCGTTTTCTCTAACATTGTATCTGACAAGACTCACACACACACAAACACACACACACACACACACACACATATATATATATATATATATATATATATATATATACACATATATATAGGGAACAGTGAACCGTAAACAGTTCATGGCCGCAAACATCCTTGTAGCCGCAAACACCAACTGAACCGAAAACCCCATTTTTCGGTTCACCCAACCGCAAACACAATAAATACCCAAAGAAAGACTAACAAGACCTATACAGATGGATGCCTAGCCCAAACCAACAAAATATGACCTTACAGTCTCCCCTTGGTTTGAGGCTAGTATATGTTCAGTCTTTTTCCATGACCAACATGTCAGACCTTCCCATCGCACTAGCCACATATACTTTTTAATAATCTCCTCAATCATTCTTGTAAATTCCTTAGCAGCAGCCTCAAGAATCTCATGCTTGCATATAATTTGATGTTGAGCCAAAGTGTTGATATACCATTCACCGAATTATAGCAAATCCTTTTTATCAACGATGCGAAAGACACCATCTGGGAATTTGATAACAGCAGAAGTTGTGACTTCATACAAAAACCCAGTATTCCATATTGCTCAGCGATCCATCACAGAAATGGTTAACAATAGGAATCTGTTTCATCAGCTTGGTCGGAGGCCACATAACATTTTTGAAGCTCTTGTTGGTCTTAGGATCCAAAACACCTTGGCTCTTTTAAGGAAGTATTCGGCAGTTTTCATCCCATCAAATTTCCTCCTAACTTGATTCTCCAAGAAAAGTTTGAAATCAGTTCCACGAGGATCATTGGCTGGGTTGGAGAATGGAGCTTCAGAAAGCTCGGTGAGGTCCACTTTTGTCAAAGAAGAAAAATCATTCTTGTCCCTGTAGTACTCCACATTACCGCTCTTTTGCTTCACCAGCCAGCAATTTAATCGGTCATGAAAACCCCACATAACACTCCCTAACCGATCACCATATTTATCTCTGAATTGCTCTTTCAAGATCAGTCACAGTTAGTTGGGGATAGTCTCCATGAATATTTTGATTTGAGTTTTTAATGAAGAGCCACTTCCCCTTCTTTTGTGAAGATACCTGTTTCCGAGCTTGTTTGAGAGTAACTCTTGGATTGGCTAGAGCAGGTTCAATCTCAAATCCGTCAACAATTGTTGTGCGTCTGACTGGTGGACAATTATCAAACAGATCTGGTTGAGATGTATTAGTAGGGGCACTTTGAGAAGCCTCGGCTGCACTTTGTTCTTTGACAGTTGTTTTGAATTTTTATCGCCAAATTCTACTATCAGTTTGTTCTTCAAGTATTAGTAACTAGCGGTCAAGGCACCAAGGTTAACTTGTAGAGCAGAAATTTGTTTTGATTTTAGTGAATTTTCTTCCACAAGCTCGGAAACTCGAATGTCGAGATTTCCAATCAAAACTTCATTCTCGATAATCTTTTGATTTAATATTCTAATCTCTGATCTAAGTTCTGAAATTGATGGGTCTGCTCCCCCTAAACTTCCTTCACCTTTAGATATACCTTTGGCTCGGGGTGAAGGGTCTGAATCTTGTTGGGCTAAAAACCTGGCAAGTCTCTCGAAGGCAACATCATGTGCATGTTGTGGTGGAGAGGCACCCCCAGGAGTTGAAGAGCTCCCGACTTTATAAGAAGATCAACCAACACTTGGTCCTTCTTTCAAAACTTGACTTTCTTCATATTTGGTTGGGTTAGTGCAGCAGTTGCAGAAGCTTGTTGGACTGGCAGAGCTTGTTCCCTAATCAACACTCCCGGCCTCAGATCAACTCTTCTCCTTTTGATTGGAGGATGGGAGGCATGTGTCATGATAAGATCACTTGTAGATGGCAAAGTGGCTGGAGTAACAACTGTAAGGGGAGGAATCCTTGTAGTTGTATCCAAATTAGCTGAATAGTCGTCCATCTGATCAAAAGTTGGAGGCGTCACCTTGAGAACACTACTAACTCCCTCAGTCTCCATTGTTGGTTGTACAACATGATGTACATCATCAAAGAACGCATGTAGTTCTTCATCATTTGGCGTAAAATCAGTATTCTATTCAAAGTCAAAGAATAATTCATCATCATCATCATCACCAAAATCAAGAAAATTCTCCCCAAGATTCACCACATCTTCACATTCATCATCATCACTTGCATTATCATCATCATTCACCTCCACATCAGTCATTTGTACATGTTCCTCTGCAACAATAGCAACGGGAGGAACATGCTCTTCTTCATGTTCAGAGGCAGTAATCACATCATCTTCATCTTCTTCATTAACTGATGAGCTTTCTAACTCGGATGCATCATTGGTCTATGCAAACTAGCCAAATTTCATCAGTGGGTACTTTCCTTGGAATACAAACTTTGTACCCTTGCGGTTTTGTTTCATCAGCCCAAAAGTATTTTCACCCAAGGACTTCAAGTCCAAAGTTTCTCCATTTCTTTTCAAATATGGATATTTACAGTTGAATATCATATGAAGAAAGCTGGGAAACATTAGAAACTTGTCCTTCCCCTTTCCTTCAAGATTGCTCATGATCTCACTCAGAATGTATCTTGAAAAGTTGAACTCAAGACCCGTAGCAAGAGTATATTATGAAGGAGTGAGCAAGAAATTGCCAATAAGGAGGCAATAGCTTTTTCATGGTAGGAGGAAATAGTCCTTCATAGCCCATCTTTGCGATAATTTCTTATGTTTGCTCCATGGAAATCTTAGTTTGAAACCCGGGCTGGTCATTGATTTGGAGCGCATCACGAATGATTTGCTTAGACACAAGAAACTTCTTTCCATGAATAACTGATTCCACTGTGTCTTCACCATCTTCTCTTTTATCCACAGAAGCCTTGTTCCAGAATTGTTTCACTAGGTCTTGATAGACGATGGGATTTGTCCTAAAGGCATGTGCAAAACAGCATCTCTTGAGTCCATGAATCAAGGACTTAAATTTGTGGTGTGCTACTGGAGGATCAAACAAGAAAGAAGCAATGTGGTGGTTATCAAAAAACTTCAAGTCTGTCATTTTATCTACACCAAATGATAATGATTTAATCAATTAAAAT